GTGGGATTGCAAGGCGTCCTCGATTTCATGCGCGTGGGAATGGTATTCTTCATCTTTCTGATTTGTCCGCCGACCCCAACGAGCGATTTCTCGACGTCAAAAAAGTGATGCGCCGCCATGCTGCTGCACAAGTGGAAGTCGATGCCCCCTCCGACTGCTCATGCATGCAATGGAAAACGGGCGCGTGCGTTGAAGCTGATGCGCGCTGCATGTGCTGTCCCTACGCGCGTCTGCTCCGACTCCTGCCCCGACCTACTGATGCATTTTGTATCGACGGATTAAGTCTGTGGTGCGTTAATCTGGGCTTAATGGTACTGCGACGTAGTTCGACATGGGTGGTCCGATCGGTGCGCGCGCGTGTCGGTGATCTTGCATGGCGCGTGCTGACTTCCGAGGGGCGCCCTTCCGCTGGCCGACCTATCTCATCTCGCAACGGAAAAAAGAAGAGCGCGTCGCGAGAGTTCGAGGTTTGGTAAGGGGCAAGGGGCGGTCCATGAGCCGGCCCAAGACAATCCTTTCTGCCATCGTCTACGGCCAGGGGGGCGAGATCTCAGATGGTGCAGCCGTCGAATTATCGGGGCCCGATCTTCTCCATGGGGGAGAATCGTTCTTCTTCCGCGGCAAGGTTTCTGGTTTTCGCCCCCCTCTGCTCGGCGACTCCGCCCAGTTCGCCATCTCTTATGGCCAGATGTTTCCCCGGGTGGTTTCCGAATGGGGGTCTGATTTCGTTTTGAAATCCATGGTTGACTCCCGGGGCCCGACGGCGTCCCGTGTAGTTAGTGCCTGGCAGTGTCCGCGCCCGCTCATGATGCAGGCTCTCTGGGGGCATTATCTCGCCTTCGCGGGCGCCCGGAAGCTAGCTCTCGCCAGATTTGAACAACTCGAAGCTGGCCATCTTGCCGAAAGGGGCAGGGGCCCAGATGGAGTTGCCGGGAAGTGTGCGCGCGTGGAGACGCGCGCCCGCGTGCCTGGAGCAATGCTGACGACGTGCTCACATCTACTTCGATTGCATACCCTCATGCAGATTCCGAAGGACACTCTGAATTGCATTCAGAGGGGGTCGTTGGTGGGCAGTCTCTGGCGGATAGTGTTATTGAGTTTGATGGCGAGGAGAAATCGGCAGGTGCTGGATAATTCGAGGACAGCTGGAGGCGCGCCCTTTGGCGCGGAGAGTATCTTCCCTTTAGTTCATTATCTCGGCTCCTTGTTGGTGTTGCAGCGGTGGGGCCTTCCTCCCTTCGTCGTCGATTGTACTCGTGCCCTATCTATCTCCGTGCGTGATGTAGTATTACATTCGTGTATTTGATGGGTGGATTTTGGCCTCAGCGTGGGGTCAAACGAGGTTGTTTTCTTAGTGACCTTCAATTCGCCTTCGCGTTCAACCCGATATCGCGTGCTATCTCTCACCCTGGCCCCCATCGTCATGTTTCCCCGACCGCTTTCGCTGGCGACCTGTTCATTGTGTCGGGCAACCTGTTGAAGGCAACCTGTTGGTTCCGCCTGTCCGTGGTTTGGCCTTGCGCCGAAGTGCCCGCAGTGCAAGCTGGTCATTGTGAGGGTCTTTTGACGCAGAGGGAGTTTCCGGAATGCGCCGGGCTGCCGGGCTGAATATTTCCGGGCGGCGCGCGGGGCGTTGAGGATGTACTGGGCGGCGGGGGCAGGTCCGTTGGCGCCGAGGTCGGCCTGGCTGCGCGTGGGTGAGAAGCTCCGCGCTCGAGGCGGAGAGGTCCAAGCGCTGGCGGGGAGTTTGGCGGCATCGATCGCGGCCTATATGGGCGAGTTGATTCTGTCGGCTCGCGCGTGGGCCACTTCCGCGCCGTCGCGAGTGAAGCTCTTGCTCGAGAGCGAGAAACGCGGCAAGTATGGACATCGGCTCCGCGTAGAGGTATCCACCCCGAGCTCCTATTCATGGCGGCCAGCATTTGCGTGAAAGGCGAGTGTCGGTCCATCGAGGTCACTTCGTGGGCATCCATGATCCGTGCTGCTTCTTTTTCGATATCTGTCAGGAAGTACTCCGCAGGGGGAAGTGTGTGGCTATGTTGTCGCGTGCGCGTTGTCCCAGGCCTGCAAGGATCCTTGTTGGTTTCAGATGTGCAACGCCCTCAATGCTCACCAGTTCCTCAACGGCCCCATCGCCACCTCGAACCCTAAGACCACGCAGAATGCGCTTACCGTGGGCATCTAGAAAAGAGCCCCGAGGTATTCCATGAGGGATATTGCGGGGCCCCGCGTGCGCAGGCTCGACCCTGAAACGAGTGTTGACGATATTGGCGTCACAGTGATCAGGCTCGGCGTCATTGGACAGAAGCTCCCGCCATTTGTTCGCGCGGCTGTCGTCAAGTCGGTCTGGAACAGTTGGAACGCAACTAGGAGATATCGGCGGCAAATAGGTCCCTATGCACTCGGGTGCCACAATCTTGCAGCATATCGTCTCGACCGCTGCTTTCGGTGTCCCATCATCGTCGAGCAGGTTCGATCACTGCTCCCACGTCTGCCCGTGAGTTGGGACACCCGTGTTTTTTTTCCTCCCCTTCTCCTCCATCGTTGGCACGTTCGCACGGCTGAGCCAATCTTGTCGTATGCAGATACTGTAGATTGTTTCCGTTCTGCCATTTGATCCACCCGCTGCCGCCGCTCCGCGCATCGCGCCGCCCGTGCTCCTGTCCTCGGCCGAGGTCGTGCCAGCGCGTAGAGATGCCGTCAGGTGCGGGCCGTAGCGTCCAGATCGCCTCGTGGAAAGTTGTCCTTGACGGGAATTTTGCTCTAGTCACGCTTTCTTGCCCGCCTGCCCTCGTTTCGGTTTCTGCTATGCAACAACGAGGTGTCACTCCTCCTCCTCCTTCTCCTCCTCCCTTTCCTCCTCCTCCTTCTCCTCCTCCTCCTCCTCCCTTTCTTCTTCCTCCTCCTCCTCCTGCTCCTCCTCCTCCTCCTCCTCCTCCTCCTCCTCCTCTTCCTCCTCCCCCCTTTCCTCCTCCTTTCTCTCCTTGTTCTTTTCCTCCTCTGTCCCTCCTTCTCCACCCTCCCTCTCCTCCTCCGCCTCCCCTCTTTCCTCCTCCTCCTCCTCCTCTTCCTCCTTGTTCTTTCCCCCCTCCCCCCGCGAGGCCAGGCCAGGTTTGGACATCGGACCGAGACCGCCTCCCGCGCGCTCCCTGGCAGCGGACGCGCCGGGAGGCAGCTCCCGGGCGGTCGGCCAACTGCCGGCCCTTGCGCGCGTGGCCCCAGCGGCCGCGCGTCTTGAATCGGCCGCGCGCAGAAAGGGGGGCACCCCAAATGCGACCAAATCTTCCGGACCCCCTTCTTCGACGGGGCGCCTCCACAAACCGGACCCCCTAGGCTCCAATCCAAAGAAAGCGCTCTAATAAACCGGACCCCCCCAGTTGCAAAAAAGGCGCCTTAAAAAACCGGACCCGAGGGACGATTGGTAAAGGATTTGGAGTTCAGTGGGGGCCCATGCCAAGGATCACCCTGCTTGCCTCCAGGGTGCCCTGGGCTCCTTGGGTTTCGATGGTTCTGCGATGGAGAGCGTTGCGCTCCCGCGCCAAAAATCAACGGACGTCCTGGGGTCTCAGGGTTGGATTTCTTGTGGAAGGTTTCTCGCCCCCACTGTATGGGAGATGAGGGAAGGTTTCTTACTTTTTAGAAGGCGCGGGCCTTGCGTAGAAATGTAGGGCCTGCGCCTTCTGAGTGACAAGTATTCCTTCCCCCCCCCATGCCCCCTTAGTGTGCGCCGCCAGGGCGGCCGCGCATCCTGAGAGCGGACGCGCGTCGGGCCCGCAGAGTCGTTACCTTCGCTCCTTCGGCGCTTTCCAATCCGGGCAGGAGCATGTGCGCGCGTTTTGCGCCCTTGGCGCAAGTGGCTGGTGAGGATCGGGGGTGTCCGCGCCCGGGCACGACAACGGGTGCGTTTGCCATCGGCAACGCGCGCGTGTGCTCTTGAAGGTGGGCGGGCGTTGGAGCCGCGGAGCGCCTGGGAAACGGGGGAGGAAGTTGTTCTGATATCCGAGAAATGCAAAAACGGATTCCAGCGCGTGGATACGCGGCGGGACCCGCTTCCGTACAGAATCGGCGTGTTCCGCCGCTAAATCGGGCTGCCTTGGTTTGGTGTTACGCGTCAAATCCACGATTCTCTACTCCATGTTCGCGTGTTCTCGAATCGTGAAATTCATTGCATCAGACGGTGTTGCCCTATCTGGCGCGTGTGATCGTCGACTCGTATCGAAGCATCAGCGCTGCGTGTTTGCGTCACATAGTACTGTGATCGATGCGTTGTTGAGAACGCATTCGGTGATCGACCACCCACGTATCCTTGCTCGCAAGCAGAAGCAGGACAGACGCCATTCATGCTCTCTGCTTTGTTGCTATAAGAATCCGTTCGACAGAAACTGTTGAATTGAACCGAGCGGAGCTTGTCCTCCTTTTCGCCGTCCTCCTTTATCGCGTCCCGCATTCTTACATTAGCAGGATCTCGAACAGCACCGTGCTAAGCATGGCTGGACAGCCGCCTCTGAGCGAGCAAATCTGTAAACAACAAATGATTTTCATGGGCAAGCTTGCTAGACGCCCTGGCACGGTCCCCGTGCGTTTGTCTGTCTTTGAGCCTTATAGCTTTGACTTGCGAGCGCCATCTGGCCCTAGGAAGAGAGGCCGGCCCCGACAGAGCTGGGGGAACATGGTGATGAACAATTGTTTACGAGTGGCCGGCACGCCCGCTCGCCTGGCTGCGTACTTCCGCCCGGAGGGCGGTGCAGCGCGAGCGTGGGCGTCGGCAGTGCAATCGTGTCGCATTTGATGCATTTTCCACCTCTGCTAGCGCACCGTCTGGTGCAAGGCTTCTGACTGACTTCTATTTTCCATGTGTGGCCAGCGCCGCACATGGCGCTGAGCAAGTTGTAGTTCAGTTGTGTGATTCGCGCAAGTCCGCCCTGCGCAAGAGCATCAACACAGATCCCGTCACCACTGCCGCTGCTGATCCCCCTCCACCTGGCAAGGGGGGGTGGAAGGCTTTCCCGTCTGGCGCGGATGCTGCGGTCCATGCCGGAGCTGATGATTCTTATCAAGGCGTGCCCAGTTTCCCAGACAGGGGAGGAAGGGAGGCAGTGGTGCGTGGGGGGGAATGGGAGGGGCCGGTGCTTGCTTACTGAACTCGCGGGCGGCATGGAACAGAAAAGGGAGGGAGTGAGGGAGGGAGTGAGGGAGGGAGGGAAGGAGGGAGGACAGGAGGACAGGCGGAGGCAGGAAAGGCAAGGTGAGGATGATGAGGCGAAGGGACGAGCAGGAGGGCAGAGAGGGATGGGGGGAACGAGGGGCGAGGAGGGGGGATGCAGCGGGGGCGGTAGAGGCGGCTGGCAGAGGGAGGGAGGAGGGCGTTGTGGGGAGGGAGGGAAGGTGGCTGGGTATGGGAGGAGGAGGAGTGGAATCCAGAGGGGGATAGTGAACCAAACAATATGACATGAGCATCACAACTCGGAGGTCCGCGCCGAGGTCCGCGCCACCTGGGCAGAGGTGCCCCCAGGATTTCCAAGGAGGCCCCCTCTGCCTCCAGAGCACCCCTCACGAGGCCCAGGGTGCCCAGGGGCTCCGACAAGTCGAGCGAACAGCTGGGGGTACCTTCTGCATTGGCACCCATAGCAGCCCCCGAGCGGAGGGTGACGAGGCGGTCGGGGCCACGCGACCCCCATCTTCTTTCGCTGCGAAAGATTTTGTCTCCACCGCTAGAATCTGTCCACATCCGCCGCTTCGGGGTCGTGCCCTGAGTTCTTGAGGAGCGGTGGATGTGGATATCGGCCCGCACGCATGGGCGGGCAGATACTCATATCCACCGCTCCCCAAGTCCTCGGAACACGACCCATCGGCAGTGGGTACGGTAGGTTCATTCGGCGTTGGCGCGCCGGCGACGCCGGCGAAGGCGTTCAAGGTTGAATTCTGCGAGGCGGAGGCACCGATTGACACGCTAACGTCACTGGGCCCGACTGAATCCAACCTTGAACGATCGGGGCCGCGATCGATTCAAGATTGAACGATCGGCACGGGGTCAAAAACCTATGCGCGCGCCGACGCCGCACGAGCCTACCGCATGGGGGTGATTGAAAGATAGGGTCTTGGGATGGAGGCCGGAGGACGAGGTGTCTCAAACAGCGTAAAGCCACCCTTGAATCCCTTCCCATCCTTGGGTCCCATCCCTCAGGACCCCATCTTTGAACCACCGAGCACGGTCATATTCTGGCGGCGCATCGTTCGGAACAAGTGCCGCAAACAACGTCAAGCCACCCTCGAGTCCCTTCCTGTCGTGAGGTCCCCCATCCCTCAGGACCCCTTCCTTCAACCATGGAGTGTGGTCACATTCTGGAGGCGCATCTCTCGGGTCGGCGGTGTGCTGGCGCCAGCAGGCGGCCGGCCGGCAGCGGGGCGCGTCGGAAGCGAGGTGGGCGCACAGGGGGGCAGGCCGGGAGCTCACGCGCGGCGGCGAGCGAGGGAGGGAAGCGATGAGGAGCAAGCTCTCCCAGACGGCGGCGGGGCCTCTCAGAAGGTCTTCGGCCTTGAGGCCGGAGGACTTTCGGACGCTTGGTGTTTTTTCGGTCATAGCTCGGCTCTCCAGTGGCCGTCCGGGGCGGTCCAGGGCCCCCCCGGAACGCCCTCGGCGAGGCGCAGCTGCTGGAGCGCATCCCGAGGCTGGAAAACAGCCGAGAAGTGACGAAACCGCCCGAGAACCTCGAACCTCGAACCCGAGCCTTCGCAAACATGGATCAATGGGGCTTTTGATTAGCGACGGAGCCCGTTCCCATTGGAAATCGCGGACTTCCGCCGCCGAGCGAGGTGGCACCAGCCGTGTTTTGGGGAGGGCGCCTCCCACGATCCATGGTTTTGGCGACCGCGCGCCAGATCCATGGATCGCTAATCTTAAATTGGGCGTGTCCCTCTACAGGAGGAATATTAAATTATTCACTGCGTGGAGCTCCACATATGTGCATCTATTCGCATGGACCTGTCCCCCGTGAGTGTCTAGGCGCAAGACTTTTCGAATATAAGCGGGCTTGAGTTGTGACGGTCTGGTCATGAATCTAACTGCGAATGAATTGGAGTGTGAATGAGTCTCAGTAGTACGAGCGCGTCTCTGCGCATGAGCCTGGGGCCTCCTGGGGCCTCCTGAAACCTCCTGGGGCTTCCTGGGGCCTCCAGGAGCCTCTCGGGGCCTCCTGGGGCCTCTTGGGGCTTCGAGTGGCCTCCTGAGGCCTCCTGGAGCCTCGCGTTGCCTCCTGGGGCCTCCTGGAGCCTCCTGGGACCGACCACCTAGGGAGGATTCGTGCCCCAGGAGAGGCCCAATCTATAGGAACAGACGTACATAACATATTGCGGACTGGAGCCACAGGAGAGGGGCAATCTATAGGAACACACGTACAACACCAAGGATTCGTGCACCAGGGGAGGCCCAATCTATGGGAACATACGTAAAACATTCAGGATTGTACACGCGGGAGAAGGACAATCTATATAAACATACGTATAACATCAAAGACTCGTGCTCCAGGTGAGGCCCATTCTATAGGAGCATACGCAAAACACATGGGATTGGAGCCACTCCTGTTGCCTTCTGAGGCCTCCTGCTCCGGGTGCATCTCGGGGCCTCCTATTGCTTCCTGAGGCCTCCAGGAGCTTTCTGGGGCATCTGGAGCCTCTTGGGACATTGCGTCTTCCTGTGGCCTCCTGATGCCTCCTGGGACCTCATGTGGCCTGGGGCCTCCTGGAGCCTGCCAGAGCCTCCTGTGGCATCCTGGAGAGAATCTGTGCCGACGAGTTTGGCCACCCAGACAGGCAAACCGATCGAGACTTCCTCAAAATCTGGCCCCCCCTGTGGGGCGAAACTGAGCGCCGCGCTCGAGACCTCCTCAAAGTCTGCTCCGAAAGCGGAGGATGTCGGGCATGCAAACAGGCAAACCGCTCGAGACATCCCCGCCAGTTTGGCGCGAACGGAGGCCGCGCAACACCCCTGGCGGCCCTCCCTAAATGAGCACCTCGCTCGAGACATCCTCCGAATCTGCTACGAAAGCAGAGGATGTCGGGCATGCAAACAGGCAAACCGCTCGAGACATCCCTGCCTTTTTGGCGCGAACGGAGGCCGTGCAACACCCCAGGCCGGCCCCCCTTACGAGTGCTAAAACCAGCAAGCCGCTCGAGACATCCTCATCATCTGCTCATCGTCGTCATCATCATCATCATCACCATCACCATCACCATCACCATCACCATCACCATCACCATCACCATCACCATCACCATCACCACCATCACCATCACCATCACCGTCACCGTCACCATCACCATCACCATCACCATCACCATCACCATCACCATCATCATCAGCATCAGCATCAGCATCAGCATCAGCATCAGCATCAGCATCAGCATCATCATCATCATCATCATCATCATCATCATCATCATCATCATCATCATCATCATCATCATTATCATTATCATCATCATCATCATCATCATCATCATCATCATCATCATCATCATCATCATCATCATCATCATCATCATCATAATCGCACTCATCCATCATTCACCATCACCATCATACTCACATCATGATCTCGTCTAGTGCAGAGAGGGAGGAAGGGAAGTGTAGAGGTCCGGCGCGGTCAGAGAATAGCATCAATCCCATCCTTTGGATATGGGGAATAACAAGAAGCTCACCTCCCTCCCCCTGGCTCGCCGCCGAGACGCGGACGACCGGAGAGCGGCCTCGCGGGGAGAGGCTCATTGCGGGGGTTCCAGGGCCAGTGTTGGCTTCCAGGGGCCGTCGCCAGGCCCTCCTCGTCCTCCTCCTCCTCCTCCTC